GCAAAACCTCTGTGTCAGATGTGTGATACATAATAAATAAGACTTTCTTGTTTGGATTCAAACGGCTGGTGATGCTGATTGCTTGTGAAGACTGGAATAGATTGAAAACGAGGATATTGTCATAGTAACATTGGTGTGGGCGTGATGGACATGCACTTTTTAAACAAATAATATCGGTTAATTTTTCTGAACAAAAAATTGCCTGTAATGAAGCTATTCTAAACGGCTGCCAATGTGTAAAGTAATAGGTTTAGTAGTTCAATGTCATATTGCCTGTTACCGATATAGCAAGAGGTCAAAAGATGTATTACAGTCCAGGTCATATGGTATGTTATCCAAGGTCTTGGTGTCTGTAGGCCAAGGTCATTAAGATGGTCATCCTGTATCTTATGATAGTGATTCCATATTTCAGCAACACAGTAAATCAGTCTACAGTCAAATCTGCTCAAGAGACCACGGCTTGTTAAGCAATCCAGCATTTCTCCTTTGCAATCAGTTTAAAGAGTCATAATGAGACTATTTCCACATGTGAGATTTTCCTCATTAACTAATTCATCCCTGAAGACACATTTGAACTCTTCCAATTCAAAGGTTGGAATAATTCAATAAAAAATTTCAGGGGGTGAATGTGTTAACAGTATATATATAAGTGCTCTAGCTGTTAAGAGACCATCACTGTTGGGAGACACTTTAAAAACTTCCCTTGGGCAGTCTCTTAATACAAATTTGACTATAAACATGATTATTGTTAATTCTTGCTTATGAAAATGCCATGTTGCTGTCCTCTAGCAAGGAATTGTCTTATTAATGTCAAAACTCACCGCCACAAATGCCTGTTTAGAAACGGATTTCTGTGGTCCCTCAGGGGTCTTTACAGGCATGTTCTACTATACACTGTTGCTGGTCCCTCAGGGGTCTTTACAGGCTTGTTCTATTATACACTGTTGCTGGTCCCTCAGGGGTTTTTACAGGCTTGTTCTACTTTACATTGTTGCTGGTTCCTCAGGGGTCTTTACAGGCTTGTTCTACTATACACTGGTGCTGGTCCCTCAGGGGGCTTTACAGGCATGTTCTACTACACACTGGTGCTGGTCCCTCAGGGGTCTTTACAGGCTTGTTCTATTATACACTGTTGCTGGTCCCTCAGGGGTTTTTACAGGCTTGTTCTACTATACATTGTTGCTGGTTCCTCAGGGGTCTTTACAGGCTTGTTCTACTACACACTGGTGCTGGTCCCTCAGGAGTCTTTACAGGCTTGTTCTACTACACACTGTTGCTGGTTCCTCAGGGGTCTTTACAGGCTTGTTCTACTATACACTGGAGCTGGTCCCTCAGGTGTCTTTACAGACATGTTCTACTATACACTGTTGCTGGTGCCTCAGGGGTCTTTACAGGCTTGTTCTACTCCACACTGGTGCTGGTCCCTCAGGGGTCTTTACAGACATGTTCTACTACAGGAGTCTTTACAGGCTTGTTCTACTACACACTGGGGCTGGTCCCTCAGGGGTCTTTACAGACATGTTCTACTACATTGTTGCTGGTTCCTCAGGGGTCTTTACAGGCTTGTTCTACTACCCCCTGGTGCTGGTCCCTCAGGGGTCTTTACAGGCATATTCTACTATACACTGTTGCTGGTCCCTCAGAGGTCTTTACAGGCTTGTTCTACTACACACTGGTGCTGGTCCCTCAGGGGTCTTTACAGGCTTGTTCTTCTACACACTGGTGCTGGTCCCTCAGGGGTCTTTACAGACATGTTCTACTACACACTGTTGCTGGTCCCTCAGAGGTCTTTACAGGCATGTTCTACTACACACTGTTGCTGGTCCCTTAGGGGTCTTTACAGGCATGTTCTACTTCACACTAGTGCTGGTCCCTCAGGGGTCTTTACAGGCTTGTTCTGCTACACACTGTTGCTGATCCCTCGGGGGTCTTTACAGGCTTGTTCTACTACACACTGTTGCTGGTCCCTTATGGGTCTTTAAAGGCATGTTCTACTACACACTGTTGCTGGTCCCTCAGGGGTCTTTACAGACATGTTCTACTACACACTGTTGCTGGTCCCTCAGGGGTCTTTACAGACATGTTCTACTACACACTGTTGCTGGTCCCTCAGGGGTCTTTACAGGCATGTTCTACTACACACTGTTGCTGATCCCTCAGGGGTCTTTACAGGCATGTTCTACTATACACTGTTGCTGGTCCCTCAGGGGTCTTTACAGGCATGTTCTACTACACACTGGTGCTGGTCCCTCAGGGGTCTTTACAGGCATGTTCTACTACACACTGGTGCTGGTCCCTCAGGGGTCTTTACAGGCATGTTCTACTACACACTGGTGCTGGTCCCTCAGGGGTCTTTACAGGCATGTTCTACTACACACTGGTGCTGGTCCCTCAGGGGTCTTTACAGGCATGTTCTACTACACACTGGTGCTGGTCCCTCAGGGGTCTTTACAGGCATGTTCTACTACACACTGGTGCTGGTCCCTCAGGGGTCTTTACAGGCATGTTCTACTACACACTAGTGCTGGTCCCTCAGGGGTCTTTACAGGCTTGTTCTACTACACACTGGTGCTGGTCCCTCAGGGGTCTTTACAGGCATGTTCTACTATACACTGTTGCTGGTCCCACAGGGGTCTTTACAGGCATGTTCTACTTCACACTGGTGCTGATCCCTCAGGGGTCTTTACAGGCTTGTTCTACTACACACTGGTGCTGGTCCCTCCGGGATCTTTACAGGCATGTTCTACTACACACTGTTGCTGGTCCCTCAGGGGTCTTTACAGGCATGTTCTACTATACACTGGTGCTGGTCCCTCAGGGGTCTTTACAGACATGTTCTACTACACACTGTTGCTGATCCCTCAGGGGTCTTTACAGGCATGTTCTACTACACACTGGTGCTGGTCCCTCAGGGGTCTTTACAGGCTTGTTCTATTACACACTGGTGCTGGTCACTCAGGGGTCTTTACAGGCATGTTTTACTACACACTGGTGCTGGTCCCTGATAGAAGTGTTATCTCAGTACAAGGTATTGACATGATGGGTTGATTAATAACTTTTAGTAAACCATATCACTAAGAACAGCTGTATTGCAAATTTGTATTTAAAACAAAGACAAATCATTGTCCACTTACAAGAAATTATCTGAAGAACATCAAATATCCAATACATTTGGGCTATATTGGTGTACTTTCTCAGGTTCCCTGTGATTCAATGAAAACATGATTTACTGTAGAGATCTGATATCTTCACTCCTTTTAGGTTTGGTATTTATATGTTTTACTGTATAGAACAAAAATCCAGGTGACTGAATTATACTAAGGAATGGATACTAAGAAATAAACACAGAGCCTTATTAATGCTGAAATAAACTCACAGGACTGAATAATTCTAAGGAATGGAGGAATAAACACAGGCGACTGAATAATTCTAAGGAATGGAGAAATAAACACAGGGGACTGAATAATTCTAAGCAATGGAGAAATAAACACAGGGGACTAAATAATTCTAAGGAATGGAGGAATAAACACAGGCGACTGAATAATTCTAAGGAATGGAGAAATAAACATAGGGGCCTGAATAATTCTAAGGAATGGAGGAATAAGCATAGGCGACTGAATAATTCTAAGGAATGGAGAAATAAACACAGGGGACTGAATAATTCTAAGGAATGGGAGGAATAAACACAAGGGACTGAATAATTCTAAGGAATGGAGGAATAAGCATAGGCGACTGAATAATTCTAAGGAATGGAGAAATAAACACAGGGGACTGAATAATTCTAAGAAATGGAGAAATAAACACAGGGGACTGAATAATTCTAAGGAATGGGAGGAAAAAACACAGGGGACTAATAAATACTCAAGAATAAATGCAGGGGATTTAATAATGCTAAGAAATTGAGGAATAATTTTAATACAGGGGACTGATCAACATTAATAAATGGCAGGATGGGAAAGATATGACAGGGAGGAAATATTTGGAGGCAAATGAATGGGATATAGTACATGGGTGATATTGTACATTGGTGATTAAGTTTGACAATAGAAGTGTGCTACAGATTTATTACTTTTCTGTGAAACAATAAAGTCAGAAGCTTAATGGAGAGTGTTTTTTTTAAGAACAACAGAAAGAAGCACAACATAACTTTGTCAGTGTTAAAACAAAGTGGACTTGATTAGTATAAGGTCTACTGTGTGGGTCGACTCTGAACATCAATAGAAAAACATCCAATCCTGACAGACGAAAAACATCAAGGTTACCAAGACGTCGACAGATTTGTACGCTTAACAAATCAGTATTTCTAATTTCATCAAGGAATGAGGTCGAAGTATATGAACAGAAATAGCTGTTTTAGTATATATTTTCAACAACTATTATTTTGAATCTCTTATCACAAAATTTTTGCTCTGAATTCAAAAAAAAAAAATTAAAAATATTGAGGAAAGAAAAGTAACATTAATTTGATTTCAAGCTGTTGTGACTTTCATTAAATGGGCCCTGACATATACCTCATCTCATTAAACAAACCAGAGAGTCATAAACTGGCCAGCTAAGTACCAGTGCATGTCAAATGATCCGTGCTCCCGAATGGCTCTTCTTCACTTGGAGGCTGGCTGGAGTTTTATTTCACATTTTCAATGTTGGAATTTTAATGTAATTACAGCCCCAGTAAGCTCTCCATCTTCTCAGCATGCCAAAAATGTATAAATAGCTATGTTGTAATTTGTGTGTTTCCCCATCAGATGGTACTGAGGCTGAGCTGCCACACTGGGGTGTAGGCTACAAACATTATAACTCCGAGGGTTTCCTGGGCTTGTGGATCAAATGTACATGTATGTGGATTCTTACTGACGAGGAAAGGATGAGAAAGTTAGAAACATTCATAAGTTTTAATGTTTTAAAAATATTCTTTACTGTCATGGAATTTTGTGTCTTATCTGTGTTGTTACTATTTTTAGCCTGACCCCTGTTTTATAGCTTGTTTCCTCTCTTTACAGGCCTGTACTGTGGGTAGGGTGTGCAGACTTGTACTGAGTCTAAGACTGAGGTACCGCCAGGCAGCAGACAGCTCTACCACTAGAGGATACAGATAGCCACATGGTTCTACACACGGCAATATAGAACACATGTCATTGTGTCCCCTACGATACCATAGACGGCCAAACTGTCATTTGTGTGTCCTGTTTAGTGAAAGTGTTACGGACTGTCTGCCAGGGTTCCTGTACAAAGACTGTTTATACTGGAACCATACAGAACTGAGTAGCAGTGCACGGTAGCCAAAAACCTGGTGTGAGGAAAGTTATTGATAAAAAACGTACACGGATGGGGAACACTGGTGTTGTGGCACTGAAAACTTGTGTGAGCATCGGGAACTTGTGAAGGTATACATTGATAAAGTGATTAGACTGCCATATAGCGGAAACTTCAGTACAGCTGTGAGCCAACTGGTGCTATAGGCCTACACTGGTAACCCGGGGAGTTCTCAAGACTTGTGTTAAACTTGTACCTGGAATTTTCTCCGTTATTTATAAACCCCAGTGACTTTAGGAAGGGAAAATAATCGCCTGTTCTGTTATAATAGGATCGGCATGCTGACTAATCCATTCTGTTCTATCGGTGAGTTTTTACTGGGGTTTCCTACGTCAGAGTATACATAGGTACGGAGGTAAATGATAAGTGCGACCCAGTGAGGAGAGTCGGTGAGCAGAACTAAGGTAGGTAAGAGTAACACGCGTGTGCTGAGTGTACGTAGTACGTATCCTGGTACAATCCACACTGTTGATGTTTCCTCGCAAAAATTTCTGGTTTCCCGCATCTACTTTCTCCTGAAAGAAGACACATATACACCAGCGGACTGAATACCTAAGTTAGTGTGGAGTATAACAATTGTACGAGGTGATGTGTCTCAACAGGCAGGAAGAATCTGTTCTGTTAAATACCAATTCATCGAGGGACAGTGAACACTTTACAGATTCCTTTGCTGGGAGTTAATCAAAGTTGGATGCTTCAGAAAGTTCTCTAAAATCTCATTGCCAGTATTAATTTGTTTGGCTTGGAAATAATAAAAAAACTGACACCGTTACGCTGTTAGATGTGAAGAGATTTAATCGTACCAATGTGAGTTGAATGCAAACAACACAGAGGCTGTCCATAGCCCCTTTTACCATTGACCGACATACAATTGATTTCTAGGGGTAGCTTTTCACTGTGTATTGTAGCGAAATGTGAAGCAGTCGTGAACGGAATAGAAGGATTTTTGTTTGAATAGATCTGCTGCAATCATGCCGGGGTGTAGCTCTGCCAGTGAGCGCTCTCCCCCGCTATCGTAATCACCACTGAAAGGGAAGGGTGTGCAGTTTTTGGCTGTGGAATACTTTTCTTATCGTGCAATTTATTTTTTTACGTAAATTCCGATTCTGTTGAGGCCACATTTGTTGTGAGACAGGAAATTAAGGTCTAGATTATGGAAGAGTGGATCACATTCTGACAGGAGTTCGTGGAACACGTGTGGATTTTTTATGTGTTGTTTTCATGCTAACCGAGTATCAGTGTTATATGTATGTAGATGAAACAACACAAATTGTCGCCGCCTCCTGAGTGGAAGACATCAGTGCAAGAACATCTATTATTACATTTTGTTCGCTGTGATATTTAATTTTCATCAGTTTTGGTTTTCAATTTTGTGTTTTCATTCCAAGGAGGACTTAATCTGTTATTGGGTTGTGTGTATTGTGATTGTATAATTTGTTATAAGATTGATACGCGGGAGAGTGATAGTAGCTCTATTGTTTACAGCAGAAGCAGCGGCAATACGATGAATTAGTGCTCAACTCGCAGGTTTACAAGCAAGTTTGGGAATTAAATCTAGCGACCGTCTAAAGAAAATTGTTCATCATGATTGGATTATCGTCGCTGGCACAGCTAATCCTCTTAGCCTGGAGCATCTATGAAGGTACGTACTCCTGGCCATTTTCATTTTCTGTAACCCAGTGATGCATGTAGTTGATTTCACACTTGAGCGCCCGACTGTTAGGCGGAAATTACGTTCGTAAATAGTCTTCAAAATTCTTATGGATGCGATTTCCATAATAAATCTGAAAACGATATCAAAAGGACATGTTGAGATGAAAACATCATTCTAGTTTGAGATATGTTCACAATTTCGAAATTGAAAGCACAATATTGGTAGTGTTTTGGAATTTACATAAAAATTCTGAAATTTAAACGAAAGTTTAAGGGCGGAAGTTTCTACCTTGGACCAATTTTAAACCAATGAGTATTGGAATTTGTACCTGTATTCTGCTGGCCTGTGACCTTAACGAGTACAGGTGAGTTCAGGTACACGGGCTATTCAGGTAGACAGTTATGGGTATTAATATTCTATGCTTTCTCTGGGCTATACAAATCCACTGACATACAAATCATTCATGCATTAATGATTGATCAGTAGATATATAATATATATCAATATGATTATTTTATTTATCAATTTGTCCGTCATAAAACTTTTACAGGATTCCCGATCGATCAAAAGTTTTAACTTTTGCTCACCTGTTCCGGTGGGAAGTTGTCGGTGAACAGCTTAATTTGTATTAGAGATACCTATTCAGACAAATAATGGTGTTTATAATATCAAAGGGGTAGTAGCCTAGGTGTGCAGGTTTCTACTATCAAACCATTCAATAGTTAAAACCTAATGGGTTAGGGAAAGGTGGGGTTGAGAAAGCGTTTTAGGTAATTACCTTGCTGATTACCCTGATGACCCTACCTTGTAATTACCTAGGGAATCACAGGTGAAAATTGCTGAATTAGAGTATAGTTTGCTGCTCGTTACAGGTAAATAACACAGGTGGTAACTGTTACTAATAGTTGTGAGATACAGCAGTACAATGACTGTCTAATTGATTTTCAATCTCTCCTCCTTAGTCGTTACCTGGGGTGTACAGGTGAATGCTACAAAGGTGTAAATTGTTATCAGTCTTCATTGTCACAACCATTACCTGCATTTACAGGTATATTCTGGTGAAAATGTTTCGTAACAGCCTTTGTACATTTAATAGAAAATCTGATATTCACTGAAGATTTAAACTTTCACTTAAAATTAACACAAATCTGGGTGAAGAAATGCATAAACATGCTGCGGTTGTATTGTATTGGATTATAATGTGTAAGAATTGTCATTGTATTACAAAGAGTGTGGGGGGGGGGGGCATGTATCACCTATGGAAGGATTGTAACAGATACCAGGTGTGGGGGCATGTCTCACCTAAGGAAGGATTGTAACAGATATCGGGTGTGGGGGCATGTATCACCTAAGGAATGATTGTAACAGATATCAGGCGTGGGGGCATGTATCACCTAAGGAAGGATTGTAACAGATAGCAGGTGTGGGGGCATGTATCACCTATGGAAGGATTGTAACAGATAGCGGGTGTGGGGGCATGTATCGCCTCAGGAAGGATTGTAGCAGATATCAGGTGTGGGGGGACAGGTATCACCTAGGTAAGGGTTGTCATGGAGATATCAGGTGTGGGGGGACAGGTATCATATAAGTTAAGGTTGTCATGGTGATATTAGGTGTGTGTGGGGGGGGGGGGGGCATGTATCCCCTAAGGAAGGATTGTAACAGATAGAAGGTGTGTGTGGGGGTGGGGGGCATGTATACATATCACCTAAGGAAGGATTGTAACATATCAGGGGGGGAGGGGGCATGTATAGCGTAGGTTATGGTTGTCATGGTGATAACAGGTATGTGTGTGGGTGTGTGTGGGGGGGGGGGACAGGTATCAGCTAGGTAAGGGTTGTCATGGTGATATTAGGTGTGTGGGGGGGGGGGACAGGTATCAGCTAGGTAAGGGTTGTCATGGTGATATTAGGTGTGTGGGGGGGGGGGACAGGTATCACCTAGGTAAGGGTTGTCGTGGTGATATCAGGTGTGTGTGGGGGGGGGGGGGGGGGGGACAGGTATCACCTAGGTAAGGGTTGTCATGGTGATATTAGGTGTGTGGGGGGGGGGGACAGGTATCAGCTAGGTAAGGGTTGTCATGGTGATATTAGGTGTGTGGGGGGGGGGGACAGGTATCAGCTAGGTAAGGGTTGTCATGGTGATATCCGGTGTAGGTGTTTGTGTGGGGACAGGTATCACATAGGTAAGGGTTGTCCTAGTGATATCAGGTGTGTGTGTGTGTGGGGGGGGGGGACAGGTATCACCTAGGTAAGGGTTGTCATGGTGATATCAGGGGTGGGGGGACAGGTATCATATATGTAAGGGTTGTCATGGTGATATTAGGTGTGTGGGGGGGGGGGACAGGTATCAGCTAGGTAAGGGTTGTCATGGAGATATCAGGTGTGGGGGGACAGGTATCACCTAGGTAAGGGTTGTCATGGTGATATCAGGTGTGGGGGGACAGGTATCATATAAGTTAAGGTTGTCATGGTGATATCAGGTGTTTGGTGGTGGGGGACAGGTATCATATATGTAAGGGTTGTCATGGTGATATCAAGTGTGTGGGGGGTCAGGTATCACATATCACATAGGTAAGGGTTGTCATGGTGATATCAGGTGTGTGTGTGGGGGACAGGTATCATCTAGGTAAGGGTTGTCATGGTGATATCAGGTGTAGGTGTTTGTGTGGGGACAGGTATCACATAGGTAAGGGTTGTCATGGTGATATCAGCTGTGTGTGTGGGGGGGGGGGGGCGGGGATCCCATTTCACATTGGTAAGGATTGTTAAATGAAGCTATATTTTGTTTCCTGGAGTAGATGACTTGCCATCGACAGAGGAACCTCTTGGTTATAGTTATTTTTCTTTTTCTAAACATCAGTGATAGGAAACATATATTTCACAATGTTTTGATATAAGTAACAATGCATTTATCGCCTGTTTGTGAGAACCTTAACATACTATTGTATACTGTACAATGTTTGGTACACACACAGTGACTTTCCCTTGTGTACCCTCGTATTCTCTGGTACCTCTAGGTATGCCAAGCATCCCTACATACCGCACAGTTAGCTAACACAACAAACATACACGGCTAAATATGTCACGTCACCACTGTCAGGCGAATAGCCATCACACATTCCCATCCAACATTCTTCTTTCTCCTGGTTTTCACTCCAACAATCTCTTCTCTCTCCATATTCCCTTCTAAGATTCCTCTCTCTCGATCGTACCTGCCAACAGCCTTCTTTTCTTTTAGCTTCTGATCAACTTTCTTCATTTCTGTCTCTATAATAATTATGCTTTCTTTTCTTTTTCTTTTTGCTTTAAACATTTCCTCCCTTCTCCCCCACTAAAGGAAGGGGTGTCTTTCTTTTTCCCTCTCTTTCTCTTTTGTTTTTGCTTTGAAAGTTTGTCTATCTCTCAATACCCCCTGGCTTCATTTTTCCCAACTTAAGGAAAGGGGTTAGTAAATGGTTCTTCAGTGCCTTTGTCCTTCCATCTACTGAACAAAGCTTGTGTACAAGAATATATATGTCATTAACCTCGCGACAGATTCAGTTTGTATCTAGTAGGACAACCTCCAGTTGTATACCCATTCTATAAGGATTTCCCAGTAAGTTATGTATGTATATGTCCAGACACAGGGCAAGGTATCCGTATGAGCAGAACTGGACTGGTTCGTCGTCTCAACCAGGTAGCTCAGTTGGTAGAGCATCTGTCAAGAGTTCAGAGGGTCTGGGTTTGAATCCCTGTCTGGCCGTGCATTTCTCTTTCCTTTTCTGTTACACTGGTGACTGTGACCAACCCGTGTATGCTTGGTAAGGTGGTAAGGCTAGGTAGGGTGTCTGGTCTGGCCGTACATTTCTCTTTCCTTTTCTGTTACACTGGTGACTGTGACCAACCCGTGTATGCTTGGTAAGGTGGTAAGGCTAGGTAGGGTGTCCTGGTCTGGCCGTACATTTCTCTTTCCTTTTCTGTTACACTGGTGACTGTGACCAACCCGTGTATGCTTGGTAAGGTGGTAAGGCTAGGTAGGGTGTCC